GAGCGGCGAGCGTTTCCCACCCGAGAGCCGGCCGAGCGCGCCGCGGCCGGGGGTGGGCGGCGAGGCGGCTGGCGGAGGGCGCCGAGCGAGCGCGGACGCCGCGGGCCCCCATGCCGGCGGCCAACATGCTGGAGAACCTGCAGCCGCCCGCCCTGCAGGTGCCCGAGCCGCAGGGCGCGCCCGAGGGCAGCCCGCTCTGGTCCAGCTCGTCGACCCCCACGCTCCGCCGCCGGCGCTTCAAGATGCGCCGCATGAAGAACGTGCAGGAGCACAGCCTGGAGGCCGGGCTGGCCCGGGACCTGCCCGGCGTCTTGGCCCCCGGCAAGGAGTTCCTGCAGCTGCCGTCCATCGAGATCACGCCCTCCAGCGACGAGGACACCCCGTGGTCCAACTGCTCCACACCCAGCGCTTCCCCGCGCCGAAAGCGCTTCCTCCTCCGCAAGTGGCTCAGGGTGAGGGAGCGGAAGGAGTGCAGTGAAAGCAGGTACGTCCCTGCGGCTCCCCCTGCCTGCCACCCTCTCCCCTCCTCCTCCCCTTCCCCGGGGCGTCCGGGGCCGAAGCCTCGCGGAGGCGCGTGGGGGGGTGGGGGGAGACTCGCCAGAGTGGGCCCCGGGCACTGCTGCGCCCCTCTCGGGGGGGGGCTGGCGGTCCTTCGGCTTCCACGTGTGTCGCCCCCCTCCCCCAGCCGGGGCTGGGGGCCTGCGACTTTTCTCCTGTGTCCCACATCTACTTGGGGCTTCCAGCCGCATTCCATCTCATTCCATCCGCATAGCAAAATGAATAAAACCCGTGGCAGCCAACATCTGTTGAGCCCTTACCATGTGCATGCAGGTCGTTATGGTAAGCACCGTGTATCGCCAAGCTGAATCCTCACAAAAACTCTGAGTTAGGTCCTACTCTTATTCCCGTTTCACACATGGACGTAGCAGAAGGTGAGAGAGGTTAAGTGGTGCCTCCACTTACACTTGTGTTTCTGAACCCCATTTCCATTTTTATTACTTTATTTTGGCCACACCAGCTTTGCGTGGCCTGGCCCACAAGGGTAGAGGACGAGCAGGCGGGTTCCTGTTGAGTGAGATGCATTTCCCACTGCAGACAGTCTTCAGGGGTCTAGAGCTGCTCTCCAGCACTCTGGTTTGTGCTAGCTACTTCTTGCCTGGGTTAGTGTGGCATCCCAGTAGTGGGACAGGTTCCCCTTTTCTAGCACTGGGTGTGGAAGACCATAGGGCTGCTGGATGCAGCCTTGGCTGGGAGGTGTGTTGGAGCCCAGGCCATTGCCTGGTGGAGCGTGTGCGAGGGGAGCATGTCCTCACTGGCTCATTGATACCATGGACTGTACTCACGTTTAGACTCTAGGGCCCTGTCTCTCTCTCTCTTTTTTAGTGTTTTATTTTGAGAGAGAGACAGCATGAGCAGGGGAGGCGCAGAGAGGGAGAGAATCCCAAGCACAGATGCTTTCAGCACAGAGCCAGAAGTGGGGCTCGATCCCACCGACGGTGAGATGGTGAGATCGTGACCTAAGCCGAAATCAAGAGCTGGTGGCTTTGAGAGCCCCAAGTGCCCTGTTTGTGCCCTTGTGTGGGGCAGCTGAAGAATTGGCCACCTTCCCCAGGACTCTCCTCCTGGCTTAGTCAATTTCATTCACCTCAGTAAGGATTTATTGAATGTTCTGAGCTCAGTCTGGTACCAGCTGATGTTGATGGGGCCCTGGAGAGGGGAGGAAGGGCTGAGTAGAAAGAGGGGATGTGGACTTTGAGAAGGAGGATGGGTGGAAACTTGGATCGGCAGTTAAGACCTAGGCATTTCTCTCCTGTTGAGATGGAACCATTGGAAGACAAAGATTTATGGAAGGGAGAGTCTCAAACTGTTATGGAAAGTATGAGGTCAGGGGCATGAGATCAGGAAAGGGGAACAGTATGGACAAAGGCAAAAGAAGCAGGGTGGGGGCACCAGGCTGGCTCGTTTGGAAGAATCTGTCGTTCTTTTTTTTTTTTTTTTGTAATCTATATTTTAGAGAGAGATTGAGAGACAGAGTGCAAGAAGGGGAGGGACAGAGAGGGGGGAGGCACAGAATCTGAAGCAGGCTCCAGGCTCTTGAGTTGTCAGTACAGAGCCTGACGCGAGGCTTGAACTCAAGAACCTCGAGATCATGACCTGAGCCTAAGTCAGTTTAACTTACTGGGCCACCCAGGTGCCCGGTTATCCTTTCAATATGTACAGTTTTGTCCCGGGGCTTTTTGTGGACCTGACCAGAACAATTCTGTCTGGTACCTCATCCTGCTGACTTTTCCATAGAGTAGAGGGAAGAGGGGCAAACTTTAGGGGAACTAATCTTTTTTTTTTTTTTAATGTATTTATATTTTTTAACATTTATTTATTTTTGAGACAGAGAGAGACAGAGCATGAATGGGGGAGGGTCAGAGAGAGAGGGAGACACAGAATCCGAAACAGGCTCCAGGCTCTGAGCTGTCAGCACAGAGCCCGATGTGGGGCTCGAACTCACGGACCGCGAGATCATCATGACCTGAGCCGAAGTCGGATGCTCAACCGACTGAGCCACCCAGGCGCCCCCTTTTTTTTTTTTTTTTTAAGTAATCTCTGTGCCCAATGTAGGGCTTGAGTTCATGACCCCAACTCATGATCAAGAGCCCAGTGAATGAATGCTCTACCCACTGAGTCTGCTAGGAGCTAATCTTGAATGAAAATAGTTCATCACCTTTTGTCAGCTTTTTCCCCTCGAATGTGAGAGACCCTAATAGAGACCCTGTTTTGACCTTGGGATTTTGCCACGTATATGGGGGACAAAATATGGGGGAAAGAGTCTTGTGTTGCTGGCCAGGGTGAGGATGGGGGTGGGTGGTTAAAATTATGGAAGGCTTTCTTGGTTTTGAGAGTTGTCTAAGGATGCGGTGTTAGCTTCCATACTTTAAAAAAAAATTTTTTTTTTAACGTTTTATTTATTTTTGAGACAGGGAGAGACAGAGCATGAACGGGGGAGGGTCAGAGAGAGGGAGACACAGAATCTGAAACAGGCTCCAGGCTCCTAGCGGTCAGCACAGAGCCCGACGCGGGGCTCAAACTCACGGACCGCGAGATCATGACCTGAGCCGAAGTCGGCTGCCCAACCGACTGAGCCACCCAGGTGCCCCAATCTTCCATACTTTTAAAAATCAGTAAGGATTTCCACCTTCTAGGGGTAGAGGAAGGCAGATCTTTTAAATGATGGCTTGATGGATTAGAAGAAGATGTGTATATGTGCAGAAAAAGACGGACTCCGGATTCAAACTCACATTGGTGTCACTCCAGTCTCTACTCTTAGCCACTATTACACTGCCTCCTGTTGGCATCTCTGGATCTTGGCAAAGACAAGGACCCCATCACGTGTAGGCCTTAGAAGCGGAAGGCTTTTTGGAGAGAAAAGAAGCATTCGAGTGAATAGGTGCTTGGGGATGCCCAGCAGGATTCCCTGAGAAGGAGTTGGCATTTGGAAACAGTAGAGCAGAGAGACTATTGGACGCGAAGTCAGGAGACTTCAGTTTACATGTAAGTTCTGTAATGTAGTAAGTGTGGGACCTTGGACACCCCACTTCATTCACCTCTGTGTGTCTCACCTTCTCCATCCACGGAAGGGGGCATGTGTCTCAGGAGTAATACACGTGGAAACGTTTTCCGAACGCCTGGGCGAAGGGTTATTGTCTGTATTCAGTGAGGATCTCCCATGGAGCGGATGTATGCTTGAAAGTGTGAGCTTAGGGACTCAAGTGTCCTGGAGCAGCACCTGGGACTCCTCACACATTATGGGATTTGGAAACGATGGTTGGAAAATTACTCTGCCCTCCCTGGCCTGGCTTAGGGGGGATTAGCATACCGGGCCCAGCGTGGTATCCTTTCTTTCCACCTTCTACTTCGGAATCTCCCTCTGCACAGTAGAGAAAAGCACCTTTCAAAGGGCTGTGATGGCATCTGCTGTGGTGGAAGGCAGCGGGGCTGTGGATTTTAACTGTGCAAAGTCGAACATAGGGATCAGGATTGCTGTTTTTTTTCTCCTTTAACCCTAGGTAGAAAGAAGTGGAGAAATTGGTAAAGTTAGCGTGGAAAAGCACCTTGGAGGACAGTACTGAAATAACCCGCGTCCAGTTTTGTCTGGTTCCCCTTTGTATCTTTGCCGTCTAGCACCGCACTTGGCCTTGTATGGTGACCCATGCATGTTCGTTGATGAATAAATTAAAAATGAGTGAATGAATGATTCTTTCTGTCTCTGCTGTTTGGAATGGAATTATCTTTATTCATGAGTCAGGGAGAGTTTCCTGGAGGGGATGACTTCAGAGCTGAGGTTTTTTTCCTGTGACAGCTTTATTGAGATGTAATTTACATACCATACCATTCACTCATTTATAAAGTATACGTTTCGGTGGTTTTTAGCATATTCATACATAGGCACCACAGTCCATTTTAGAACATTTTCGTGACCCCAGAAAGAAACCCGTACGCTATACGTACCACCCTCAGTCCTCCTATTCCTCATCCCCCCAGCCCCAGGCGGCCACACATCTGCTTACTGTGGAGAGCAGTTTTGAATAGGAACCAGATGCTTGTTGGTGAGAGCAGTTTGGGGGTGTTGACAGCAGGAATGGACGGCCAAGAGAGTGGTCTCGATGAGGGATGTGGAAAATGAAGTGGTGACCTGATGGGCTGGCAGACTTGCTTTATGCGGAAGAGTTTGAATTTCAGTTTATCAGTCAGCCAACAAACATGTACTGAGATCCCATGGACATTGTGCTTTATATACAGAGAAGATTCACCTCCGCGGGAGACGCTGTAGGTTCTGGAACCAGGGAGAGGTGTGCAGAGTGGTATTTGAGGCAACTAATTCTTGCTACTTGGTGGGGGGGGGGGAACCCAGTGGGGAGGTAGAGGCCGAGCCTTGCACTGTTTTTCCAGTGGTCTGACTGGAAATGGTCTTAGCCACCACCATTTAAGGGAAGATGGCACTTTTTTTTTTTTTGTGCTGGCCATGTCCCCTTCTGGGCTCCCTGAAAAATGTAGTCCGAAGTTGATGGGGCAAGCTCTTCGAATTAGCGCCTGCACGTCTCCCTAAACACCCTGGCCATAGCTGGTTGTAGAAATTGTTCATAATTCTCGGACCTGCTGGATTACCGTAAAAGTAAGAAATTAGAGCCACATCTGGCAGAATGGCATCCTGTCCTCCTTTTCTGGAGGGACAAGGGGCAAATGAGTAGGTGTGGATGGCTGACTGTAGGCTGTCTTTCCAGGGGACACAGAAGCATTTCTCTGCTGCTGTCTCCCCAGGGTGCCCTCAGTCATTATTTGTGCCGCCACTTTCCTTCGGCTGGCTGGCCGGCCAGCCGGCCGGTCTGTCTCCTGCTTAGAGACCTTAGGGTCCGCACCCTGCTTAGAGACCTTTCAACTTGGAGCCTCGGGGTTTCTGCTGTGCTACACATGTGACCTCAAGTGGTACCTCTC